CATTCGTAAATTCAAGAACTTAGAAGAAATGGGCCAATTCCTCAATCACCACAAACTACCAAAACTCAGCAAAGATGAAATATGTAATCTGAATAATCCTATAACCATAATGACTTGAGTTCATAATTAAAAAGGTCCCGAATGATCTTCAAATAAAAAGTAATGCTTCTGAAAATCGCCAGGCCTAGATGGTTTCACTGGAGAACTCTATCAAACATTTAAAGAAGATTTAGCACCAATTTTACACAATTTCTTCCAAAAAATAGAAAAGGAGAGAAACTTCCTAATTCATTTTATGAAACCAATATTATTCTGATACCCAAACCAGGATTTATTCAATGCCAAATGCCCATTTATAAAAGTGCATAGGACTTTACAAGCTCACTCTTGTTGCTTTTAGGACATGTCCAAAATTTTGGAGAGCCAAGAATTATGCTTTTTAAGTCAAAGTGAAAAGGGAATTTGGAGTTGGAGACATGATCTAAGGGGAATTCTTTTTTTGTGTGTGGAATCACATCTTTCCAACATGTGATTTGTGCATAAATGTCTCAGCAGCTCTCTGCCATTTGTCATTGACCAGCTCTGCAAAGTCCACCATGGAACACCTTGGTGGGCTGGGAAACGAAACACCAGTTCCCGGTGTGTTCTGCTCTTAAGCCAGCCTGTGTACTTGAATAATTAAATCAGCGTTATCTGCCTCTGTACCATGGGCATGCTGGTTTCATCCCAACATGCTAGTTTCTATGTGATCATTCATGCCAGTAAATAAAGGCAAAACTAGGAACTGTGTTTATGTTGTTACAATAAAGTGGTTAACACACAGGCTTAAAATCACTCAAACCTCGGTGCTCCTCCCAATTGGATCAACCTTGGGACCCAGAGTAACTTATTTCACCTCTCTGAGCAACAGTTTCCCCATCTGTAAAACAAGGGTGCTAATAACTAATATTTCCCTTGTAAATTCATGGTGGGGATTAAACAACACGATGTTTGTAAATACTTAGTATAGTCAAGAGCCCAAAGGAGACCCTGAACTGAGGGTGGACATAATTAGCCATGTGTCACATAATGACATTTCGGTCAGTGATGGGCAACATATACGACAGAGACCCCAAAAGATTATTACCATATATGCTAGGGGTGTGGTGGGCTATACCATCCAGGTTTGTGTAAGTACACTCTATGATGTTTGAACAATGACAAAATCACCTAACAATGCATTTCTTAGAATGCATCCACATCATTAAGTAACACATGACTGTATTGCTAACATTTTTGTGGCCTTAAAGATGTTATCAATCAAGAGTAAAACAATAGCAACATAGGTATTAACTAAAAGCGATATGATAATTGACCACTAAAATAAACCTAAACATTAAGGTGTGAAAGGTTTATTCATCCACACTTCCTTTCAATATTTGACCACTGAGAAAAATCTGTTTTCAAGTAACACACTCGCACTTTCAAGTCTTTCAAAGCCAGAATGATTTGAAAACTTTAGTCTTTTTGGCTAAAACCTGATAACTGCCTTTCTATGCAGTCTTGGGTTATCAACAATTGCCTCATATAGAAAATTGTCTTCTCCACTGTTGGGGGTACCTGATAATGTCAAATTGACAATAAACAATTTTTTCCATCAAAGGTTTTTATTTTCCTTACATACGTAGCTAAAAAATCCAAATATCACTGTGCAAATCTATCATTTAATTTCTCCAAAATTTCCTAACGTTAATGGCCTTTATTTATAATCACCACCAGCATAGTTTCTTCTTCCACATGCTTAGCACCTTTATCACTCACTGGTAGGGTAAAGACTACAAAATCACCAGGAAGAAGCCCTTACATCCCCCTGCTGGGCTTCAGCGTAACTCAAGTATCCTACTTAATCAATGGCAGAATATCCAATTCAGTTTATAAAAATTTACTGTATACAGTTTTAAGGCCTAGGAAAGATATAGTCACTCACAGAGATTTCAATTCTGCCAAGAATGTAGGAGAAGGAAGAGACATTTTTCATTGCAATTAAATAAAAATTAAGAACAGTGCCAAGAAGCAAATTGGGATTAAAATCTCCATTTGGCTATAACCGACATAATTTTGCCCTACTCTAATGCTTAATCATGTGATAGGTGAGTTTACTATGATACAATCTGGTGTCAGCACCAGATGAAGATGAGAGAGCGTCAATCCAGGATGCAAGAACGCTGGAGACAGGAGGAAGAGTGAGTCAGGGCATCACTATGGGATGGTGCGATGCCAACCGTGGTCCACAGGTCAATTTAAAGATAGAGAGGGCCTATCTTCCAGCTCCTCCAGGAAATATGGCCTTTATAATTATCCAAAGAGGCTCTTTCTTCTATGAGATAGTTCATCGACATAGAGTTGCTCCCCCGAATAAGTGCGCCATGTCCCTTTGGGAAGTCTGTTAGTGTCACTAAGCTCAGCAAAAGGCCTCCCAGCTATAGGGCCTGGAGCCTCCACACATTGTCACAGAGCCATGGCATGAGCTGGGTTCCCTGGATTTTATTAGCAGAGGTGACTCTCAGTGAGGTGAGGGGACACCATCTGCCTTCCCAAACACTCAGTAAATTCAGCACTGCAGTGGAAACTGCTTGGGATTTTAGGCATGACATCAGGTGTGGCGGCCACAAAAACTAGGAGCTCAAAGGGCTCAGTCTGCATGTGTATACTGATGTTGTCACCTCCAGGGAAGACACTGTTCGTGTATCCTTTCCCTTTGCTCGTCTCCCCACCCTCAACAGACCCCATGAGCTGCCACTCACTTCCTTGACACCTGAAGCGCTAGCTTCTGTTTTGAACAGGATGCTGATTTAGGATGCATTCTTTAATGACAGTGTCATTATCTCACCTTGGGGGTGGCATTTCCATGGTGACGTGGGAGCATGGGACAAGTCAGAGCCACCAGGTTGCCATGAATTGTAGTAGGGGCCAGTTAGATCTTTCCGAGATGGGGAGGGGCTTTTTGCATCTCTAAAATCTCCTATGATGTTTTAAAAAGAGTAAAAAATGTCACAAGTATTTTCCCTTGTGTTGCCATTCATGAGTGAAGTTAGCGGAAAAGAGTCAGTGGGAAGCCTCAGGCTTGTTCTAAATCTAATTCTGTTGCCCAGTTAACATATTCATCCAACTTCCTCAGCCAGACTTTACAGGTTTAGTGGGTCCCAGCATGTTTGTAACTGCATTCCTGTATATGAGCTCCGTGCTCTAACATAAAATTGAAATATCTCTTTAGAAAACTGTCAAACAACAGCACTAAATTTTTTAAAAAGTCATTCTAATTGGACATCAGCATCTTTCTCCTTCTAAAGGCATTGGTAACCAAAAGGAAAACTTTGCTATAGCCTCTGGACCAATAGCTAGGAGGTTATAAATTAACTCTTTGATAAACATTAGCAGAAGAAAATAAGACAGTTCAGGATGCGAAAAACACATTGCTATAGTATATATCTAAATTGGCGGCAGTTACCATGAAATGATAAAGATAATAACATTTTCCAACAATCAGAGAAAATATTGCCAAATGCTTTTCTTAAAATAACTAATAACTTGAAACTCTTTTGTGTTCTTACTATCGTAAAAGTATAAAAATTCAGAGGTCAAAACATACTCTTCCCCAAATTAATATAATATTGCAACAAGACAAAGTCTCATTGGCTGCTACACATTTCTCTAATTCTTCTCCCACAGACTTTAAACAGGCCATGAGATGAACTAAAGAATGTACAGCTATCCACAAGACAAGAAATTTAATTATTTCTCCAATCTGAAGAAATGATAGCAGTGTCTCACTAGTATTCTTAGGGTGTCCACTATTAATATTGATTCTTGGCAAGGATTGCACTTTTTGTCATAGCCTATAAAAATTGTACATCTCCTGTGTATATTACACACATACCTCTGTCCATATCATATTTGCATATACATCTATTCAGTGCAGAAATCAGACAGGTGACAGAGCAGGCATTTATGAGCAGCGGTGGGGAGCACGTGCTTTAACACGACCTACTTACAGAAGGCAGCGTCCCCAGTCAGGTGGTCTTCAGCATGACAATTAGTAGTTTTCCCTGCAGTGTGGTCAGCAGGAAGAATGCAAACCTCTCCCTAGCACAAGTCACTCAGCCCTGCTGGATTCCTGCTGCTCTCTGGGTCACGGCATCCCATTAGGAGTGTGACACAGTAGGGAAAGAGACCGGTTCACTGTGAGACCTGCTACTCACTCTCGTACAGTGCATCGGCCCCCCTTCCCACTGCACAGTGGCTGCCGAGCTCTGGGCAGGAGGCGTGTGGCCCTCGAGAAAGGGAGCCATGGAGTCAGAGTTCCACCGGGACACAGGCTGCAATGTCAGTGGCCTTCATCTAAAGACAGCTTTTTAGGATGGTGTAGAAACAACCAATTTGGCTCCCTAGCCTTAGGAACAGGGGAAGAATTATTTCTAAGTTTAAAAAGAAGAAAAAAATGTATGAACTAGGAAGTTGGGATGTGGTTAGCTCTCTGCTTCAAAAGAAACTAAGAGATACCAGCCCTGGTAACCTAGTGATCAAGTTTGGTGCCCTCAGTTTTGATGGCCCAGGTTTGGTTCCTGGGCACGAAACTACACCACTCATCTGTCAGTGGCTGTGCTGTGGCGGTGGCTCACATACAAAAAGAGGAAGATTGGCAGCAGACGTTAGCTCAGGGTGAACCTTCCTCACAAAAAAACCCCCCAAAAAGTGAAAGAAACTAAGAGGATCCAAAAATAATTTATGGAGAGTGCATTTAGCATGCAAGCCTGGGACACTGGAGTGTTGTGGGCTTCACCTTCTTATATCTGTTACTTTTCCATAGACAGTTAATCAAATGCTCTGTATCTTCTCTGGGTAAAGGAAATGAGCCAATTTAAATTGCCAAGCTCGGATAGTCATCCAAAGAGGACAGCTGAGAGATTTACGTGCAAAAATAACTAGGTTAGAGGAGAAAATGGGAACGTGATTCCAAGTACCTGCTTGCTGTGCTGTCTGTGGCATCTGCTGACCCCTCTGAGCACTGTACTGAACTGAGGCCATGGGCCGGTACTGCTGCGTGGTTGAGGTAGGGTACTGACCAGACGGATAATAATATACAGGCATCTGTAAAAGAAAGGGCAAAACAGCAGGGAATGAGAACTATCTGTTAAATACTGTTTTTTAAACATAAAATAGACTCATTTTATGATATAATATGACTGTAGTAGATTGGTGGCTATATTATAAATAGCCATCAAAAGATTCTCCCATGCCTGTGTGTGCGTGTGTGTGTGTGTGTGTGTGTGTTACTCCACTTACGAAGGGGTGAAATCTGTTTCCCAAGCCCTTGAATCTGAGCTGGCTCTGTGACTCGCTTTGACCAATGCTATGAAGCAGAAATGATGACTTCTGAGACTTGCAAGCCTGATCCTTAGGAAGACTTGCAGCTTCCACATTTGCAGGAAGGGAGCCCAGCCACCAGGAAAAGAAGTCCAGGCTATCTTGCTAGAGAAAGAGGCCACGTGAAGAATAGAGTCTCCACTTGACAGGCTACACCAATGTTGTGGCATGTAAGTGAGGCCATCTTGGATCTTCCACATTAAGCTCCTGAGCCCCTGTTAAGCCCTTGAGCCCGTGCCATATGGAGCAGACATGAGCCGTCCCAGCTGAGTCCTGCTCCAATTGCTGACTTAGATGTGAACAATACAGTGCTTGTTGTTTTAAAACACTGAATTCTGTGTTTTTTAAATGAAACAAGAGTGAATAAAATAGTCATCTGCAAGGGAAAAAAATTGATGGTAGTTTTAAACATTATATCTAGCTTGAATTGTTTTTCTAATGGAAACACAGGTGAGAAATGAAAACTGCTGATCTCTAGTCTAAAAGAAGCAGAAAGTGAAACTATGAATATGGTAAAGTCTATCAAAGCACTTTAAAGAGTGATTGGCGTATAGCCAGGATCCAGAGAATTGATGTTAAATCTAAAAAGTTGAAATACAATAAAAATATCATTTAAGTCACTTTCTAATGACTGAGAATGGTTGAAAATATTCTAATTACTTCCAATAAGATTCAAATCAAATGTCTCCTGATCTGGAAAGACTTCTTTGCCTGCTTCGGGTCATTTATATTAAGGCTATTTTCTTACTAATCTTAATTGTTTCTCATCTCCAGGCCTCTGGCTTTTCTTCTATCATATTCTTTAAAGTACAAACAGAGGCATGCCAGTACACAGCCTAGAACTTACATAGAATTATGTACATAGAATAAATTTATGAGCCACCTGTTTGAGAACTGTAATTTTTATGGCTATTTTATTTTCTGATTTGTTCATTTCAAATAGGAAACACTTTTCTAGTTCAGTTTTGCTATTGAAACACATGTAGCATGTTTTCCTGCCTTGGATAAAGTAGGAACAAAAGATAACTTAGTTTGTGTGGATCTGTGGTTCTGCAATCCTATGGAATCATTATGAATTATAACTCTGAAGAACAATGTGGATATCCAAGGAGAGGAGGCTGGATGAGTCTGAGGACATGGTCAGTACCCAGCAACCAGCTAATTTATTGTGTGCATTGTTTATAGTGATTTGATCTTACTATTTCTCCCTCTCTTTGTAAGGCAGTTTATATCAATAAGAACTCAAATAATTCTGGAGTAATAGTAGGTTTTAGTTATGCTCTGGCACATGGTGGTGCTATTAAAGATTACTACCAGTATACATCAGATGCCTCCCAATATTAAGAATAAGAACAACTATTATCTAATTTATTCATCAGCACTGTATTTATATGTCTTTTAGGAAGAACAGCACCTTGTTCCTTTAGGAACAACTGTGTCTTGATTCAATGTAAGCTCACAAATGTGTTATCTGATCCTTGGTCTCTCTTCTTACATTCAATATGAAACATGAAAATACCTTCGGGGATGAGGCACAGAGTTCAAACACTTGAAAATTTCCTGATGGGCACTAATGGTTTGGATAAAAGTACAATTTTTGTTAAAAAAAAAAAGAGAGAGAGAAGGAGAGCACCTCATCTTTACTACTCAGCTATGTTGTTCTGTTCTTGCTTTTCCTCCCAGTCCTGTCTTCTCTGATACCCTCACAAGCTGTGCTAGAGGTCTGGTCGCTTCTGTCCAGCACCTCCCCAAGGTGGAGCATAGGCCAGTTCTCAGGAATTACAGTCCCAACCACATGAGGCAGGTGGGAAAGGGACACTTGGCTCATTCTCATCCTCCTTCATGGAGGAAGGGAGCCAAGCTGGGCTAAGATCAGTATGAAGGTTTGGAAGAGAGAGAGGGGAAGGGAGCGGGGAGGAAGGACAGCCCAAAAGTGAGGAAATGCCTATTTTCAAACAGCTATGTTAAATTATGGAAAATCAAAAAATGAGAGGATTATAAGGTGAAAGTAATAAATGAGAGAAAGAAGGAACTATGAAAAATAAGCACTTCTCCCACTTCCCTTCTTCAAATACCTTTGCCTTGTTCATGTTTCCCGCTTTGCCCTTCCAGTGGGCATTCAGAAAGCACACAGGACAGCTTAGGCAAAATTGACCTTCTACGTCATTAAATAGGCTCATTCTCTGCATAAATTTAACATATATGCAAATGAGCTCTGTCCCAAGAGTTCTTTTCGTTGTTCTATAGTTGAGCAATCAAGTTTTAAAATGTTTGCTAGATTGAAAACCACTATCAGTCATGTCCATACTTTTATCTGTGGTTCTTTTAAAAAGAAGTTCATGGATCTCCAGACTGATCACGAACCATGAACATCTGTTTTGTCTTTCTTCCTTCCCTCCCTCTTTCTGTTTTTAAATCTACTGGAGAGGGAATGAAAGCATTTCTGTTGCAGACACACCAGGGGTTCTGAACTGTCTTTACTCCTGCTGTGCACTAATATTGAAATTCCTTCATTAAGGAATGACCTTTTTTTTAAGTCTTCAATTAAATATTCTGCCAACTCTTCTCTTTGACAGCAGAAACGGGTAAAGATACTTTGGTGATATTTAGGCTAAAAGAGCTAAACTATTTTTTCCCAATAATTAAACAAAGTATTTAATTTATTAGTAAAATAATTAATATATTAATGAGGCCCGTTCTCCTGTAACTTAAAATTATTTTTCACAGCTCCTTGAATCCTAGTAGCCAAGAGACATTACAGAGAAGGCAACTGAAGTTGAACTATTAATTAATCACTCAAAATAAAATGAATAACTGAGTGAAAATCATTTCATGGCAGCGGGTTTTGCATGGCTTGAAAAGATAATAATTTATTCAAGATGTTAAGGCAGTGAAACAAATGATGCAAAGGTGACACTGTACTTTACACAGCTCATCCAATGCAATATTTCATAATTAGGATGGAAGTGCTTGGGATATGTGTGCCTTGAAAATGGACCAGAAAACGGCTCTGTGCATTTTACATCTTGACAGTAATCACTTGCAATATTCTGCAAGGGATACCCAGGAGAGCACCAGAGATGTTTGGTGGAGAAGAGTAACACATAATCAGTCTTTGAGAAGACAGTAAAAATCAGTGATCTGTGGTGTCTTACATGCTCAAGTCAATTAAATATGATTAATGGCTACCTGTGAGAGCACGCAGGAACTCTGCTTCCCTCTAGGGAAAGGAAAGGACAGTGGCTATTGGCTTATTCCTCCTTTATATTCATAGAGGAGCTCCTGCACCAGATTAGCTCCAGAAAATGCTTATGAATGGATAAGAAAGGAAAGAACACATTTCCAGAGCAGCAGCAAGAGAGAGAGAGCTGAAAGTCCCCCAGGAGCAAGGGCGTCCTCTTCCCTAAGGCTTTCCTTTCCTAGGCAATCACTCCAGTGAGCAGGACCACACATGGGAGGGAATGCTTTCCCGTGGCCTCTGTACCAACTGCCTGGAAAATGGGATACTCCTCCCTTGGACCATGGGGCGTTGGGTCAATTTCATTAAACTTACTTTCTGAGCCTCAAGACTTTGCTCAACTGATGAATAGGACAGACCAGGTCCTGTAGGTGAGGAATATCCGTACGGACTAGAAAGGCAAGACAGGTTGACCTGGAGATATTCTACACGGAAATACAGAAGCCAAAATGCGCCACAAATAAGTTATAGGTCACAGGTGTCAGAAAAAGCACACTTACCTGTGCAGGTGGAGGCTGTTGCACAAATCCTTGGGGTGAGGGAGGGGCCTGGAGGACTTGTTGGGAGATGGGAGGTCCAGAGCCTGAGAAGCCCCCTGTAGGGAGCTGCTGGCCTGCAGAGGCAATGACATAGCTCGGCTGTTGGGTTGGCTGTGGCATGAGGGACGGTGGGTAGACAGGACCGGATGGGGGCTCAGGAGTCTCTCCTGAGGATTGCCGGCTCAGGTTCATTTGGCTGAACTGTGTCACCACATCATCTCTCTGCAAGCCAGAGAAATAAACGAGGAAATCAACAAGATCAGCTTAGGAATGGGAGAGGTACACAGAGGCAGACACAGGCCACATGCTTGTTGTGGGCAAGGGAGGGAGTATGATTTGGAAAAAAGTAAAAGAAAAGAATTCTCCAGGCAGAACAAAAAGGGAATATAACAAGAGAAAATATACTTAATCATCCCGAGATGGTAAACAATTTGACCCAAATCTCCCTTTTACAATGGAAACAAATTATTATTTTTTCACTAAGGGCTCAGGCTCCTCAGGATGGTGCGGAGACAAAAAGGGCTTGATATTCTGTCTTGAAGGGTCAGCTGGCCTTCCCAGCAGCAGCCACAGGATCTGCCTTCTGGAAAGAGAGGCAGAACCACTCGTTCTCATCATCACTCATTGCTGCTGCAAAGATGGAGCCAAGACTGAGTCATCAACAGGCGGGGTGGGATTTCATTCATATACTAGGGAGTATGTCTTCACTGGCCTGGCCTGAAATTTAGGGACAATGCTCCCTCTTGTTGTCCAAAAGGACCTAATACATTGAGGGGAAATGAAAGGGAATCGAGGGATTGGATTGCTAGGGGAGTTGGGGTGTTCCTATATTAGGTGCATGGGGTGATGAAGGTTACCATCTCAATACTGACTTGAAGAGATTTCCCAAACCCTCACACCAAGTTTATGTGTCTCTCTGTTTCTGACTTCTAACTCTGAGGGCATTCAATTCCTAACTAGCTGGTAAACTCTTAAAAGAGTATCAGAATGCAGAAGCACTAAACCTAGGACAGAAGACAGAAAGGGAAGCATTACTCTGGAGATGGGTTGTAATGTTCTGGAATGAGACATTCACACACACCCCCCCCCCCCGCCTCACAGTCAGCCCAGGGCACCCACCCAGCATCAGTCAGCCCTGCACAGGAAAGTAGTAGAACCAGCAAACATGCTCTCCCAAGACAAAAGTCATCCAGATATAATACAATACCAGGGGGAATTGCTGCGTTGGAGACACAGGCAGGAGATGCTGGGGAGGAAAAGAGACTGCTGGATATTGCACTGACTGGGAGGAAGCCTGCAGCCCCTGGACAGACTGGAGGAAAGAAAAAGCCGATCAGGTAACAAGGAAGTGATGGGAGTTGAAATCCCACAGGAAGGCTCTGATATCTGAAGCATACCACTGTCCCTTACAGGTCCATGCACTCCAGAGAGGGGAACCTTCCACCAACAGAAAGTCAAAGCCATGCAGACCAGAGGCAGCCAGCCTGGAGAGGGGCTTATTTGCCCAGAGTGAACACTCCTTTAAGAAGTGACTGCAATACTTGATGTGGTTGGTGTTGGTTAGATCCTCCGGGTCTAAAAATATTGCCTAAGGACTAAGAAGTAAGGACAAAAATATTTAAAATGAGGTTCGCTCCAGCAACCTACCTGGAATGTTTCAGGTTTCTGTGGACATTTCCATGTGTCACCCCAGGAAAGGAGGGCAGCTCTACATCTCTCTAAGGGGTGTGTGAACAGCCAGGCCACCTTGGAATGAACTGACTTCTGTTCTTTCCCTTGATAGAGACTTTAATATTGGCTCTTTGCAGACATGAGTACTTGGTCTGTGTTGGGAATGGGTGAACCAGATGATGCAAAGCCCTGGATGGGATTACGAATTCAATTCCCAAGGCAGGCTCCTTGGTACATAAAAATAGCATCTAGACCTAAGAAAAACTTGTCATTCCTTTTCCCTAGTACCATGCCCTCACCATGAAAGTCATTGGATGGGACACTCATCTCTACCTAAGCTTAAGGATCCGGATGATATCTTGTCAACTTGTAACCAAGGACTCTAGGTTGCCAGGTTTTACGTATGAGGTTGAGTGGATGGGGTGGCACCAATGGAAAATATCCCCTCTTCCTACCCATTGCTACTCTGATGGCAGAGCAGACTTTGTCTCAGAGCCGTTCTCCTCCCTGCTCTCCAACCAGCTCCTTACCTGAGTGACTAGTGTGCCTGCCATTTGCGGCTGTGGTGGCTGGACCTGCTGCTGCGGCTGGGGAGAGGGCTGCTGCTGTGGCTGCTGCTGGGACTGCCCCACCATCGAGCTTCGCAGGGGCTGCTGACTGGCGGGGGGGTTGTATATTGCAGGGGTTCCATCGGGATTCACAAAGGGCTGGCCTGCAATGGAATCATGGCTTGGTCTACGTGAGTTTCTCCATCCCTCCTTTAGCAGAAAGAACAACTCTGATAGATACTTAAAAAGCACTAAAGTGAAAGTGCAGGGCAGTGGAAATTCAGGACACCTGAACCCTCACCAGTGTGAAGACGTTACTGTTTATGACCCATCCTGTTAAGCTAGATAACAATGTAGGCCCAGAGCAATTTAAGAAGCAGCAAGTAAATCCAACACCTTCAGGGAGATTTGCCAAAGCTAGGTGCATCTGTGTACAGTGGTACCCTGAGGAGAAGGCCTGTGGAGAAGCAATCTTCACAAAGCCATGTGTTTTGCTGCCCTGAACCTCATGCTGTCAGAGAGATAATGCACACTGAGACAAGGCTGCTTTCCGTTAACACAACTCTGGCTCCATTCAGTTACACATTATTTACCGATACATTTGTTTTGCTTCCCCTAGCTTTGTCACCAATTCAGAATCATTATCAGTTCCACAAATATACATACAACAGAACATAACACATCTATTCAATCACTTCTCTAAATAGACACAACGAGGAATACACAGAGGTTTAGATTTTAAAGACGATGCATAATAAACTCATCACAGAATCCTCTTACAATGGTGAAGCAAATATACGTATTTTGCCTTTTGAAATAATGGCATGGTTCACTATTATTATTACTGCTATTTGAGCAGTCTGTTATAGTTTATAAAATAGTATCATTAGAGCCTCATCATGACTCAGTGAGGAAGAAATGTGTCATCTCCCTGTCCCAGAAGAGGAAATGAAGCCCCACCAGAAAGGGTATAGGAGTAAAGAGCTGAAGGGAGGTGAGGAGAGGGCAGCAAATGAAAGAGAGAGAGGTAAAAAAGAACAAATGGGTTTCCAATGTGGCGGGCACAGTGACAGGCATCTTACATGCATGATTTCAGCTCTTCCAACAACCCCACAGATGTGCAATCCCATTCCATTTCAGAGATGAGAAAATTAGGGTTTAGAGGGCCAAGCAACTTATTCAGAAATACAAAAAACAGTAAGTGAGAGAACCAGGAAATGACCCTGGTCAGTCTGACTCTAAAGTCCATTCACTTCCCATTACACCAATAACTTAAGTGAATTATTCAAGTTTACAGGAGGAGTACATGGTACAAGGAGGGGCCATGGGAAAAAAATCCCATCATAACTGAAAATTATTAATCAATGCACGAGAAGTCAGGAGGGGAGACCATGTTTTAAGATGGAATCACACTCAGGATTGGTAGATAACGAAGGAGAAAGATCAGAATATGGGGGAGTGGATTGGCAAAGAGTTTGTAGAACTTTTTCGGAGTCCTTTCTTCCATTATCCACACTCCCCACAACTCTATTGGAAAGGCAGCAGTAGGAATATTGTCCACAAGCTGAAGCCATAGAAATATTCTCTAGGAACCTGAGCAAAATGCCTGGAAGGAGCAGGACTCCCAGAATGGCGTAGTGTCTCGGGGAGGGTCACCCTCTCCTTGGTTTTAAAGGGGGCAGCAGAGGCTCTGAGTTATTCCCAAGCATGTATTCTAAAGCGTCTCCTTACACCATTCAGTCTACAGGGCTTGCAAGAGCACTCTTATCCAGGGTAAGTAGCATGCGATGGCCGAGGAAATCAGCCTTGTTCTTTAATAATATATATGAAGAATGACCAAATGCGTGAGGACAATTAGCAACGAAAAAGGAACAGGACAGAGAGGGAAAGTATAAAAACTGACCCAAAGGAAACAATATTTTAGTGAAAAAAGAAAGCATGGTATTTAACAAGAACAGACTGTTATAAAATGAGAGCTAAGCTAGTTAGCAAAGGTATGCTAAGTGAAAGAAATCAGTCCCAAAAGGGCTGCTACTGCATAACTCCATTTCTATTACATTCAAGATCAGGCAAAACTTAGCAATGGTAATATAAGTAAGACTAGTGGTACCTCTGAGGGGGCACAAAGGAACCTACTGGGAGGCTAAACATGGTCCATGTCTCTTTCTGGGTGGTGTTTACACAGATGTTTACATATGCAAATATTTCCCAAGGCTACACGTGAAATGCGTGTGGATCATGCACTTCACCTGTGTACTTTATAAACTACACTAAGACAGTAAATTGGAATAGGTTGGGGAGGCAAATGCTGAGGCCGTAGTGAAGCCAAATAAAAGGTTCACAGGTAAAGAGCAATGGACTGACTTCAGCTCAGTTAGGAAAGCTAATGAGGGCTGAGCATTCCCATTACCCAAATTTTCAGCCCAAATATATTTGTATGTCTGCAACAGGAAATCTCAAGTGCTGCATATTCGTGAACATACCTGCCAGAACTAATGAAGTTAGGATAACAGTTTCATAACCAATCACAACGTGCTGTGATGGAACAGCGAACGTCCCAGAATTACATTCACAGAACAATGACTAAATTTAGAGGTATTTTTTTTTTTAATCTTCTTCAGAGGCACTTGTTTTCCTATCACTGTCATTTAATTTTAGCTACATTTTATTATTTTAAATTCTTTTTCTCTTTTAAAAAATAATTTTCTTCTGGGTTTAAAATCTGCAATCTGTTTCTCCTCCAAAAATCAGCAATTTGGGAAAGGATGAAAAAAATAGTTCAATTTTTAAAAATCAATCAGCCCCTTTAGTGTTCTAATCCTTAGTCCCCTGCCTCCATTTTTTTTTTGTACCTTAAAAAGATAAGAGGAAAATGTTAGATAACATAAAAAAAAATCTTTACAGCAACTTCATGTGAAACCATTTCAAAATCAGCCTCACTCTGTGCTTATACACAAACACACACACAAACACATAAAGATGGAAAACAAAAAGCATCTTTACTACATTCTACATTCTTTGTGACCTTCAATTTACAGTGAGAACTAACTAGGTGTGAAAAACTGACCGTAATTAGGGTGAAAAACGTTACCACAAAATATTCATATGACCTTTTTGATAAATTTTAAGGTACTCTGTTTGAAATATTATTAATATGCTGTGGACCAGAAGGAACAAATGTTTCTAAATAATTGCATATGAACAATACTAAGAATTCACTTGGGCGGTGAGAGATGGCAGGTTTTTCTGAAAAGAAAAGAGAGTATAAAAGATTGATTTTACGCTCACCTAGGAGAGGTCGAAAGAACTGAGGAAAATGAAAGAAGTAAGATGGATGCCAGGGAAGAGACGAAAACAATTTTCTAACAAAGCTAGGGTAAGTGACTTGGTTTTCAAGTCAGGCAATGGTCGCCTCTCTAGAGTCTACCATTTCTACCAATCCAGATGCAATTACAACTGAATATGGGCTGTTAGTTTGAATGACAGCTGCTGAAGACCAAAGGGGAGAGAAAAACTAGTTGGTCCCAGGACTACTCAGTTTAGAAGAGGTTTTTGTGTCAGAAATTGCACAGGTATGCCCAGCAGTGGCTTGTGTGTTGGCACAGGTAAAGAGAGTGCAGTGACAGGTAAGCCAGGGTGTCCGGAGCTGAGCCAGGGCAGAGAAGAGGATTAAGTGCAGAGCGCTCATTCCTCTCAAATGCATGATCTTAGGTGAAAAACTTCTCCACTTCCCCATTGACATGAACAGTGTGTAGTAGATGTTATTTTACAAATATATAATTATTGAGCACCTGCACAGTGACTAAGACTTTGTTATCTATTCCAGGGATGCAAAACAGAACAAAACAAAAAAGCAAAACTAAGTATGACCCCTGGGCACAAAGAGCTTCTAAATGTGCTGGTAACAAAGAGATGAACCCAAGGGCAATTCACACTAGAAGCAAAGCAATCATATGCTTTTGGTTCCTAAGACCAAAGCATTTCTGCCATGTACTTGGCAGAAGGGTATTTACTTTTAATAAAAGAGAGGGAGTGAGAAGAAGAGATTTTTCCTTTCCTAGTCCTTAGAAAGTGATCAATCAAATTATGAGGGAGCTACTGATTATGGATAGGCAAAGATTAATTCACATCTTGCAAAGATATGTTTATAGACAGCACACAAAAACTTCATGGTGCATTTAAGAAAAAGGTAGAAGCAAGTTGGATAAATAGATGCTAGAAGTCCTGTGAAACACAAAAAATATAGTGTTATGGAAGCCCATCAGGAGTTTTTGAAAGAGATCAGACCTGAAATGCTGTTCAAAGTGGAGTCCCTTTCGATGGCATGCCCTGACATCACACACTCGTGAGTTCACGCTAGAGGAGGGCAAAGCAAAATGGCAAAACAACATGTACGGGCATTAAGGAGTACTTGAGGGACGCCAATGACTGTTGGCATCTCTGGATAGCACTGAATTGAAAGTAAATAGCCAAACAAAGATGAGCTTTCTGTTAAAAATTTCCAAAAGGAAGCTGAGTCCAAGACAGCTGGAGGAAGACCAAACTCAAGAGTCAAACCCAGGCTTGCCTGGCAAGGATGAAGATCTCAGAAAGGGCTAACTTTGAAAAAGAGCCTCTGCAGCAGCTCACTCATCCAGCTGCCTGAAAAGCAAAGAAAGAACCGGCCTGAGTTCTGAGTTAGAAATGAATCAGATGAGAGTTGAGTCTAAGGCCAGACAAAAAAAAAAGTCGTGCTTGTATTTGGGGAACTGCAAGAATATATGCGGGCGGGCCTGGCTTCAGTGTGCCAAATGTTTCATACTTAGAGCCAACTCAATTGTGCTGACAAAGGAAGTTTCATCTTTGTTTTATTTAGTAAACATATGACTGGCAGGCACCTTGGTATTTTCAAATCATTGTTTGTCATATTCCTGCTTTAGACAGATATTGTATCAATCATAGTTTTATATATGAGCCACTTTCTCAAATATAAAACATTAGACAAAACCTTCTCCATTATCCACATCAACATATATAACGGGTAGTAGATATTATTTCAATGATGTGTAGTTATTGAGCACCTATGCCTAAGCATAGTGCCTAAGATTACTTCATTATGCCCTCTAGGGAAGTGAAAAAATAGTCAAGTATGGCTCCTCCCCACAAGGAGCTTGTAAATGTGCTGGCAACAAGGAAATGAACTCAAGGGCAATTCACACAGGAGGCAAAGTAGTCATAGGCTCTCGGTTCGTAACACCAGCGCATTTCTGCCATGTAATTTGGGAGAAGGGTATTTAGGAAAGGGTGAGAGGTCTGGATTTCAGGAGTTCAAGGCAATGACAGGGAAAGATGAGTTCCAGCCCAAAGGGGGCAAATTTTCAGTTTCCATAGTAGAGGCATATGCAATGCATTAATACATTTTCCTTCTGGTCTAGGGATATCTTCAAGTCTAGCATTTGTCAGATGTGAGAAGTGTGTATGGAGAAGCTGTTCAAGCGTTATCACACCCTTTCTTTAGTTAGGATCCTTTTCAAGGGAGATATTTTAATAACAGCTCTAAATGACTCAATCCAATGAATAAGAATTGGGACTTGGCATCAGAAAGCGTATTATTATTTTTTTCTTTAAACAAGATTATAGATGATAATATACACATACAGATGCATAACCACACTATCATTACAAATAATATCCCTGCATTATATCCTAAAAAATGCTGTTGAGCTTTTCTGAAACACTTTGTAATTTTGCTTAAAACAAACCGCTGAAAACTAATGCTTAGTACGTGCTCTTGTCTGCAAGCCCTGCGTCTCAATTAACAGTGAAAGAATTGAAGCCAACAGAGTCAGATCATACTTCGGTCAGTGCCCAGAGTAATGAATATGATGCTAGTTGTCTTTTACTTTCCTTTATAGTGCTTACAATGATGCAAATAAAATAAAAGCAATCTAATATTCTCCTTCAAAGTATCTAATCTGAAAGCATTCAAATGATTTTCAATAAAATGATTATGCCTTCTTTTTCCTCAAGCTTATGGCATTTTCAAAATGTCTCAATCAAACACCATGCCTTGAGAATGGCCATATGTTTTCATGAAAATGTAGCAATTATTCAAATAACTATTTTACTATCATTCTCATGTTTCTCTGAATTTCCTAATTACTAGCAGCACTAGACATGTGAGAAGATTGAGTCAGATCACTTTTATGAGATTCTTATCCAGTTTTGCATTTTTAAGTTTAGCTAATCAAGGAAGTACTCTGGATATAATATACTGAAAATATCTAACTCTATATCTAACTGTTGAGTATCTAAGTATAAAATACCAGACTAATCTAAATCAAATCTCGGATCTATTCTGAGACAATTCAATTTTTTTCAATCTCTATAAAGGCTTCTAAAGCATTGACTAGTCAATGTCAAGCCTTCTAACCCAGGATTTCACAACCATGGCACTGACATTTTGGGCTGGATAATCCTCTGTTGAAGGGGCTGTCCTGTGTATTGTAGGATGTTTAGTAGCATCTCTGGCCTCTACCTTCTTAGATGCTAGTAGCAGTCCCCTCCTCCCTAGGTCATGATGGATTGGCAAATGGCTTTGGAGGCATGAGCAAAATTGCCCTGGTTGAGAAATTTCCCCCATGAAGCAGATGTTCACCAGTCCATCCAAGATACAAAAAAACTTTTGACATAACAACAGGCTGACTGGGGATTTAGTCTGAGAAGCACAAAGTTTTTAATTAGTATATCTCAACTCATCACTCTACAGTCTCTGATCTTAGCTCCCGGGCATATATGAGAGATACCATGATCAGAGAAGAGAGGACAGAGAGGAAAGTGGCTATTTCTGAGAAGTATCTATACTTATATTTATATATCAAGATTGATATCCATATATAGGTACAGATTGCAACTACAGATAGGCTCTTCCTAAATCAAAACCCTACAGAGCAGTTCATGCAACAAGCTCTCCTGCCCAGGAATTTTCAGAAAACTTGCTAGCAAATTTATAAGCTCGCACACACAGACAAACATCTGATCTTGTGTTCCTACTAAAGCAGAGGCAATAAACTAACCTGTATGTGGATTAAGAAGGATGCTTCCAGGTGGGATGCCTGTTGCAGCTTCCAGTGGAAGGAGGATGTAGCTGGTGCTGCTGGGAGCAACCTGGCTGCCCATTCCATTCTCCGTATAGGGCAAACAGCCAGGAGAACTGGCTGCCACACCTGAGACCAGGGGTGCACTCTGGAGGGGTTGATGGGTACGGGACAGCGATCCTGAGGAGCCTGCACTGCTGGAAGACTCGGAACCTACCACAGAGATACAAAACAAAGATCATTCAACACAGAGACGAGGAAAGAAACCATAGCTCTGGGTCTAAATGCTTAGTTTTATATAATCTATCATTAAAGAATTTGAGGGGAGTGCTGCAGGTGAGATTAACTAATGTCCCTCCCAGATTTCGGGCTCACATTTTATTGAAATATTTGCTACATATTTTTCACATGTGTCAATTTCCTAGAAAAACAGAGATTAAGAATGAGCACTCTCAGCCTTCTCACATGTCACTAGGGTGATACCTTGGTAAATGGTACCCTAAAGTTCTGAACTCAATGCTGGAAAACTCCCATCACCCTGAGCAATTAATGCCATGGAAATGTCTTACTGAGCTGGAGTTATAAGAACAGAATGACTGGGATGGGTGTTAGAAGACTTCAGTTTAAGAAGGAGTCCTATGATGTGCTCATTATGCAGATCCTTCTAAAGTACTGGTTCTCCAGCATCCATAAAGCTGAATCTTGAAGATAATCTTTTCCCCCAAGATGTGAATAGAACTGGATCACCCCTATTGGGAGTGCTTAAGATCTATACCGTATTTCACATATTCCCAGAAGTCTTATTAATGCAGCCAAGAGGTACACCAGGGAGGGTTTGGCCTTCGTGGTAATGATCAAGCATCCTTTAGATAACACAGAAGAGTGAAATCAGAGGGATGTTTGCGGACAGTGGATTTCTCAAACATATCGGTAACTGGATCAGTGTGCAGAAGCCCCCAAGGTGGAATCTAGCCCTCCTCATCTGCCTCTCCTTCCACTGTGGACAGAGAAACACCTGCTACATCCCACGTCCATTAGGCCCTAGCCATCCTTCACTGCAGCCAGAACCAAGCAGCCCTGGCACCCTTGGCCGTGGCTGTTTTGGGCACTGAATATTAACCAGAGTGTTGGAGAGAAAATGTGCCAAGCAAAATTTCTTCATCTGTGAATTCACACTAATTAGATGATGTCACAGGTTACAGTAATGTGGTATAAGAAGTTTTTTTTAACTATTAGCCCATAACTATTGACTTATGTCAATAAAACTGCATTTTTCTGTGTCATTAAAGGTGAATACATATAAGGAATAGCTAACATTGTTTTCAAGATTCTAAAATGTGCCCATAAATTAAACTGCAGACCTTTTAAAATAAGTAATAGGAATCCAACATGAAGTTGCAGAGCCGAGGAACCATTGGAGAGCATGGCAATTTTCGAGAAGGAGGACAATGATATTTATTGAGCACTTAGTATGTGTGAGCACCTGGATAAACACTTTAATAATAAGTACCATTACTGCCTTTATAGATAAGGAAACTGAAGCACAGAGAAGTTAGATAACTCAAGCTGACTCATACAGCTAGATAATGTCAGAGCTGGGATTCGATCCAGGCAGACTGATTTGGATTTAACCATGACCCACCGCTGCCTCCTGCAAGCACACATATGCGTACACCATGGACTGCCACGAGTGTTCACAGCTGGGTATCTTCTCTGCTTTTCCCATGACTTGATTACTAATAATGATTAAATTCCAGGTTAATTCAGGATGCTCCATCTAACTTTAGAAAGTTGTTTGGGTTCTCAATAATGTATGGGGAGAAAAATAAAGGATGTAAAAGGAAATTTGAAAATGCTAAGAATAGTTTTGAGACCATGTTGCTGACATTATGACCCTGAAGTCACAGCCCCAATGTACACTGTAGTGTTTGTGGACTTGACCGTATGATTTGATGCTGCAGTCCGAATTTGACACTAGTGCAGAGTCAACAGCAACAACAGTAATAATACAACAAAACCTCCTGCCCCCAGACATTTAAGGTCATGCAAAATTGATTCTGCCCATCTCCGGTCTGAGAGGTTAGACAGTGAGAAAGAGTTGGGGCCAGCAAAGCATGTCCCAACTCAGATTTGAGTGTGAGCTGGTGCTGACATGGGTGTGTGTGTCGGGGGCAGGACTGATGCACTTAGACTGAAGTGCCACAATCAAATGACTTGAGTTTTGGCTTTCAGAAGATGGCCATTCATCCTTGACTTGCAATATCATTTCCTTCTATCAGCTGGGGAAAAGCAGCAGCTTCAATAGGAATAACAAGGAGATAATGTAAAGATAATGTAAATGGTTTGATTCCACAGGTTAAAAGAAGGAAACTAGATTTGGCTTAAACTCTCAACACTTGCAAAGATGACGACAAATTTAGACCTCCTTGGAGGGGTGGTTCAGCAATCCCATGCAGCCAGGTTTAGTAACCGGCCTTTTTGTCTGGCATATAATCAGCTTTGACCAGGTCGTAAACATCAACCGCCTAGAATAAGGTAGAGCAATATTGTGCTCATAGTATTACTGAAATTTTTGATAAAAAACGGATGTTAGAAATGGTGATAAAAGGCACAGGATTAGAAATGTTCAAAGATTTTTTTAAAGATGAAATTCATGTTTGAGAACTTTCCTGTTTTGGGTTCTGAGAGTTAAGATGTTTCTGGTTTCTTTTTTTCAGGGACTTAATGACAGCAATGGCAAATATTTAAACGTCACATTTATGTGACAAGCACTGTGCGAATCACTCTATATGAACTATCTAATTTTCACAGCTACCTCATTTTGAAAATGAGAACTGATCCTCAGAGACATTAAGTAAATTTCCCAAGAGCACCTAGTGTGTGGAGGAGCCTGAGTTCAAACCCAGGCGCTGTGACTCCATGGACCAGGCTCTAAGCCTGCAGGTCGTATGCTTACCCTGGAGTCATCCAAGCAAGAACCAGGTGGGGCAAGAGCCCTGAGCAGGCCTGTGCCAAGTTCTAGGAGATCCTGCACGGAACTTCAATGCTACTCACAATAGGATGCTCAGATGTCGATTCTGGACCCTAAGGGGCAGCTAGTGGGAGGTGTAGGGAGAAGATATTGGGGTGAGTGGGTGAGAAGCTCAGGTAAACACTCAACAGAGAGACAGGAAAAAGGAAAGGAGAAAAATGGAAAAAAATTGGGAAAGAGATCATAAGGCAAAGAAAATGGAAAACTGGGAAGGGGCTGGGGCAAAAAGAAAGGGCATGGGCAGATTCCCTTGGAATAAGAAGTTTCACTCCCCAGGAGGAAGCATCTTGAGTTTGGGTTCTAGTTCTGCCATTTACTTGCTGTGTTTTCTTCAAGAAGTGACTGCTTTTTTAGACCTCAATATCCTCTTTTGTGAAATATAAGCCACCAGACTATATGGTGAGAAGCAATGGGGACGATGCTCTTACAGTTCTCCTCAGCTTGACTAAACTTTAGACTGGCTCCTTCCAGACTGTTGGCCCTTTACCTCGCTTTTCTTGTAGCATTTCTGCCCCTCTAAGATGTAAATCTTCTCCCAGCTTCTTACCAGTTTTACAATGCAGGACTGTCTTTCTTAAGGGCTTGGGAGCCACCCCTTTGCAATGTGATCCTCAGGAAAAGTAGTGCCCTTATCTGCCAGTTTCTGTGGGAGGGTAGGGGCCAGAGTTTGATAGGTGCCAATTAGTAAACCCAGATGGCTTAATCAGATTGACCAGTCACCTTTCTTACATCCTCCAGTACTTCTCCGCTAACTCACTCTAGTGCTTAAAAACTCTCCTGCCTTTTGTTTCAGCAGGGTTGAGCTTAATCTTTCTCACCTATTGCAATAATCTTGACCCCAATTGCAACAGTTATGAATAAAGTCTTCTTTGCCTGTTAAACTCGTCCAATGAAATTTTTCTTTTAGAAAGACTCTGAACAATATATATATTTTTCCTGAATCAATAATTTAAGAAAGTGTTTCCAGATTCAGAAGCCAGAGTTCAGTACAATAACTGAAATCTTCTGAAATTATAAGGAGGAAGAGAGTATCCAGGATGCATTAGTGTAGTGATGGCAATGAAGAAGAAGAAGAAGAAGAAGTGGTGGAAAGATGAGGTGTCTTATACTGGCTCCAAAAATACTCTAGGATGTAGACAAGGAAGGTGACAACAACAAGAATACCCTTATTCTAGAAAACAAAATACCAGGCCACAGAAAATTATTAAAACAAAATAGAAGTGTCACCTACAAATTGTCCTGAGGAACTAAAGGGATGTTTTGGAAGCATTTAACTGTGTCTTCAAATTGGTTGTTTTTCTTTTTTGTTATGTTAAGAGGTGCAATCACCAACCACCTGGAACCAGTTCAAACCTCACCACAAGAGCAACATTTGCACAGATAGGCTAAAAAATGCCCAAGAGATGACCTTTGCCTCATTTTTAATGCTACAATCTCTGCTTCGGGAGGGGCTTAGGCCTTATTACCTTGACATGTGATACACGTGGAAGCATGTTTTCCAACTGAGCCTGCGCAAGCAAATGCCCACCTCCCCCTTTTGAATATTCATTCCCCACCCAAAATATAAAGCCCTGCGCTTGAGGACAGCTAGGAAATGATTCCACATGGTCTCCTATTTGCTTCAAATAAACTCTACTTTGTGTGACAACTGCTTCTGGTGGAGAGTCTGATTTTAAAACTCCAGAAAGCAAACCCACTTTGGTTTGATAACAGAAGGACATCCGAATTCTCCAGAGCAGTTGTTCTCAAAGTGTGGTTGAAAACAAGCAATCTGTTCTTTAACAAATCCTTCGATGATTCCAATGCAGTTAAAGTTGAGAAGCCCTGCTCTGGAGATCAAGAGGGAGGGAAATGTGTTGGAACCACTCATGTAATCTTTACTATATGTAGCAAAGATTTTGTTCTTATTATCCATAAACTAAATCAGGGTATAGGTGTTGCTCGGGTCTCTGATGCATATCGAGTAACACAAAAGACTATCAGGAACTAATACCAGATGTTTGCCCCACCTGGAGACAAGATACCTGCCCCACCCAGAAACCAGATGCCTCTCCAAAACTGGAGACTAGTTCCCTATATAACTAGCTTGTATTCTTTGGTCTGTGAGATGGTTCTTTTGGACATTAGTCAGCCATCTTCCCCCTTGCTGGCAAGCTGTAATAAAACCGTTTATCTCCTACCACCTTGCCTCTGGACTATTGGCACGTCTTGCAGTGGGCAGACAACCCCCTTGGGCAGTAACAACAGTATAACAATGTAGTCTGGGCAGTGTGGAAAGAAATAAATGTCATACTCTTATTTTTCAACCACATTGCCACTACCTTGAAACAGCCAAGGCTGCAGTGCTAGCACCGTTCAAGTCCTCTTCCCAAGGAGGATGGAATGACATCATCTATCTCCACAGGTGTGTGCAGGGCATCTATTAGGTGGTCATTACTGTGCCCAGTGTGGGAGATACAATAAGAGAAAGACATCCCAGGCCTCAAGAGAATGTGCTGGTACATTCGGACTTCAGTAATATGCTTTTTCCATAATGTACAAAACATGTTTCCCCCCTGGAAAAAATCTCATTATTATCTATTTAAAGCTAGAACCTCTGTAATTAGAGCAGGAGAACAGTAACTTAAATGTCACAATTCCAGACTTGGTTTCTGAAAGGTCGAAAAAAAGTTTGCAATTCCACTGTGAACATGAAGTAAAAAATTGGAAATTTGTACAGTTCTAAAGCTCCATGACAGCAAAACTGACAGCTTTGCTTCATAAAACCATCTTGGGAAATTGTAAGTTTGTTTTGACATCTTATCTTGATCTCCTTTAATTTTTTTTTTTTTTTTTTTTTGCTTTCCATTCCTGCACCTTGACAAGGCTTCAAATGGAGACACTCAGATTAAAAGAAAAAAAAATGTCTGAAGCACTTACAATTTCTAATCATTCTTCAAAGAACAGGCATTTTAGTATTCTTAAAGTGTTTTAAATGTTTCCAAAGAGCTTTGCTTTGGAAAAGCAAAGTGACTGGGGGTTGGTGCATGGAGAATGAGGATTAATTTAAAAATCTTAAGAGCTCTTTTGGTGTGCTGGAATTTTTAAGTGCACCATTTAAGGTACTTGGTTTCTGCATTTTAAGGGGATTTAAAACTATTTAACCTTTCTTAGTTTACAAGGGCTCAAGTGCACCACAGTGGATTTTCTTGACTTCAGTTGCTGCAATAGTGGGATGTAAGAGCAATTAATTAGAGTAAGAAATCAAGAATTCACCAATTGGTGAATAAAAATGACAGAAGCCAGTGTGAGCCCACCTGAATCCTTCCAAGAAGTAAGACATATATGGATATATAAAGTATTGGCTGTGACTAAATGCTATTAATTTTCTGCCTATGTAGGAAAACATGAGATAATTTCTTAGGAGGAATTTTGTCAACAACATAATTATGTTAAACCATTAGCATAATGAGCCCAGATTTCACAAAGAGATCCCCTTAAGACGAGTGTTGAAGCTTGGTTGGGAAAGTATTCATAGTCTCAGAAAGCCCATATCTAACGTCTGGTTGGTGATGTCTATTCACCATCCCTGGCCCTGGCCCTGGCCTCCAACTCACCTGCAACCCCAGGCCATGAATGCACCACCAGTATAACCTGACACCCAGGCCATGAATGCACCACTAGTATAACCTGACACCCAGGCCATGTCATGGAATCACAACTCGCAAGCCCCACCTTAGCTGAGAGTCAGGGCCTCTGAACTTCTAAGGCAAAACCAAAACCAAACAAAAGCAATTACATACGAAAACCACAAACTTAAGTCCATGTAATACACTACTGAATGGTCATCTGTCACCTTCCTAGGATTTTATGAAGTAGTTTAATTGTGAATAGTTGAAAATAATTTGAAAACAATGTGAGAGATTCTCGGGAGGCAGAAGAACTAGGAATGGCAGACCATGTTGGGTGTTTTGCAGACTCATATGAACTCCATGGTGTTGATGCTGCCATTAGTGTAAAGCTGTTTCAAGTTCTGCTTCTCCTGGATCTCTCAGCATCATGCACCTCCCAAAGACTGTCCACGCAAACTTGAACCACCTAAGACCTCCGAAGACCACGGTTCACTTAGCAGACAAAACAGGAAAAACCGCCTCATGAACCTGGCTACCTGGAAACTATAAACCTTTCTGAAGGTCACTTCCCTTATCTGCAAAGAGGGGATGAAAACATTAAGTGGGAATAATAAAAATAAACAAGAACTGGGGGCCGGCCCCGTAGCTGAGTGGTTAAGTTTGTGCGCTCCACTTCAGGGGTCCAGGGTTGGCCGGTTGGAATCCTGGGCGCAGCTCTACGCACTGCTCATCAAGCCCTGCTGTGGCGGTGTCCCGCACAGAACAACTAGAATGACCTACAACGAGGATGTACAACTATGTAGTGGGGCTTTGGGGAGAAAAGAAAAAAGAGGAAGATTGGCAACAGATGTTACCTCAGGGCTGATCTTCCTCACTGAAAACAAAAAAGAAAGAAGGAAAGAAAAATAAACAAGAACTAGTGCTTATTAAGGGCTAATAACTTGCCAGGCATTATTCAAATTGCTTTGTGTATATTAACTCTTAGTCTTAACAATAACCTTGCAATATAGGTACTATTATTATTTGCATTTCTCAGATAAGGTAACTGAGACACAAATAGGTTAAATAACTTCCTAGGATTGTACTAACAGTATGCCAAAGCAGGAACTGAAATTATTAATATTATAATTATATCACAATGAGGTTTTTACTTTTTTAAAGATTGGCACCTGAGCTAACAACTGTTGCCAATCTCCTTTTTTTCTTTTCTTCCTCTTCTTCCCAAAGGCCCTCAGGACATAGTTGTATATTGTAGTTATAGGTCCTTCTGGTTGTGGCATGTGGGAGGCTGCCTCAGCATGGCCTGATGAGCGGCGCAATGTCTGTGCCCAGGATCTGAACCAGTGAAACCCTGGGCCACCAAAGCAGAGTGTGTGAACTTAACTACTTGGCCACGGGGCCAGGCTCCCGCAATGAGGTTTTAAGGAATAAATCATAGTATTAAATGTTAAAAAACAGTTAACCTTTCTTAAATAGTTGCCATGTGCAGGTGCCTTGGCAGCCATTTTTGTATAAGTGATCAAAATTAAACTTACAATAGTCTACTGAGGGGAGTTAGAGTAATATTCTACTATAACCTACATTTGATAGATAAGAAAACAAGATTAGAGAGGTTAGTAATTGGATCTAGGCACACAGCTAGCAAGAGGGAGCATTGGTAATTAAATTGTACCTTCTGACTCCCCATGTATCCCAGTAATTAATATCACCATCACTAGTTAACTTGAAGTCAGAGGGAATGGTGACTGGACGGCTTGGGTGGAATCCAGAAAATACCACAGGACATAAACCCATTCATTACTAACTACCTGCTTTGGACAGCTTCCCGGTACTCCTGGTACTGGATGTGCTATCACCCCTGGTCAGCACTGTGATGCCCCCAAAACTCGCCGTCTTGGTCATGGCAGGCTTGAGATTGCGGTTGGAGCTATCAGAGTCTGTGCTGCTCCAGGCCCTTTGGTGGTCGGACCATTTGAGTTCGTTCTCCGAGCTGCTCTGCCGACTCCCAGATGTTCTCCCTGAGCCATCTCTGTTGCCCCTGGAGCACGGCCATCAGAAAGATGCACAGGGACAGCGTTACATTCTATAAGCAGCATGGACATAGAGTGGGACCTTTCTTGGAAGAGTCGTCTACACAAGACCCTTCTTGTCAACTCTTTCCATTAAACCTGTTGCCCCAGAAACGGTGCCACAAATACCTCATTGATGTACAGACAGGTAACATGTCACATGTAACACTCATGTTATAAACAGAAAAACCAAATCTACAAATGTCACACGATCCCTCTGCCGGTGAAGGAGAAACAACTAGAAAAACATAGTATAAAATACAATTATTAACTTCTCTTGTGGAGAGGAAAGGGGGATAAATTCTCCTGACCCAAATCAACAATGAATCAACGTTTGGAAACAATTATAATCCTGAATGATCGTAAAAGCAATTCTCACTGAAGAAGAGTTTTGATTCTCCCTTTAGCATTAAATAATTGGACCATGGAAATGTACACAGTTCCAGAGAAACAATTTATTCATTTATTCTCTAACTTTATGAGATATATATCTGAATTCATTAAGGCTTTGACAAGACAGCACAGAAATCACAGAAATGACTTTGCTAACAACTTGTGAGAATTTTGCCTGAGAAGTTTAACCTTCAGGGGCAGAGGAAAGAGCCCTTTAATATTTTTCACGTAGCAAAGCTTGTGATAATAACAGCAGTGTAAACACTACACTGACATGAAACTTTCCAAAGGGATCAATGGAAATAACAAAAAAGCTCCATAGGTGAAAGAACACATTGGTTCAAAATTCAAATAGAAAAAAGAATGAATGTATTGGAAGAGATCCAATAGCCAGAAGTGAATTTTGAAGATTCCAGAGTAACTCTAAGCAGTGTACAAAATTGCATGTGTTTGACACAGAAAGTTGATGAAAATTGCATTTTCATTGGTTTCTAATCTGCTTAAAGAGTAACTTGGTTAATATTTTCAAAGCTTTTTCTGCAGTTGGAAATAATGTATCATTAAAATACTCTAAGATTCTCATGGATTACAAATAAGTAAAAAAGACAGAAATCCTGGGCAATAGATATAACCCTTAATTTCAATTCTCTATGCAACATGACATACTCAAGTCTTGATCCAATCTCACAGATGCAAACAGAAGCTTTGTTAATAAATATTCTTCTAAAGACAATAATGCACTATTGAGCTGCTATGAGTATACATATCTGATTGAAAGACCCAACATCCAAATTGTACAGAAGGTAAACAGAAAATTTTAGATTTTGCCTCAACTTTACTTACTAAACTTTTTCTTTTATTTCATGAAAACTTAAAAAGGTAAATAGACCCAAGATATAAGGAAAATGAAATAGTTAATCTGTGATGGGAACTTTGTAAAGTGAGGGGCACAAGGGGAACAGAAAACTCAAAAGCAAAAAGCACTAAGTACCCTGCTGTCGTCTGTCAATGCTTCCTTACAAACATTCTGTGTTCTCAGTACCTCAGGGATAGCTGGTTTTAGAAATAAGGACCATCTCAAAAAAGACCAGGTTGCAAGTAGGAAGTATCAAACACTCCCCAATGGCCAGGTGACTTTAGTGCTTAAACACTTTTGAAATTCAAGGAAGTCAGAGGAGACAGGGTGAGAAAATTAGCCTTTTCAAGGGCTTGGTGCTCCTTTCCTGGATATTTCTCTTTCAATCTCCAAATTCAACTTCATTCTTTTCCCATATAATTCTGATTAATTTGACCCATCCTTGACAAAGCCTGGCTAAATCATTATTTAGCAACTGGGAATGCCCCATGGATGTAACAATAATCTCATTTGTAGCTAATTTGGAATGTTTATTACAGGAAAAGATTTGGAGTGGTCCTTAGCCTCAGCATGCAGGATGCATCAGAAGGCAGCTCTCCATATGGGGGTGATCATCACTAATTCATCTTCAATTATCCCTCTCCCCATGAACTCTGTACCTCCATGGGAGGAATCCAGACTTCCTCTCAATGCCAGTGTGGCTAGGCCTTTCTCTGCAAAGGAGGCGTCCCCCACTATTCCTGGGTGCAAACTAGAGTGCTGTAGTTTGCATCCTTCCCTCTGGCACAGCTTCTTCGAGAGTACTGGGTAGTTCCTCTAGACTTGTGCCACATCCCCTGGCCAATAAGCCAACCTAAGATTTCCTTAACATCTTCTACCTCTACTCTACCAGCTCAAATAATCCTCTCAAGTCAAGATCTGTACATTTTAAAAGAGGGAATTTAAGCGTCTGCTTTAGACAGCTGGCATTAATGAGATTCAAAATAATGCAACTAATTCTAATTTATGATCTCTAGATATTCAAATATTGAAACAATATTTTATAATGCACTATCTCTTGATTATTCACCTTAACACTGGAAAGGTGAGGTTCAGAATTGAATTTCATATCTATTTGGGTGTGCAATCACAGGCATCATAGAAAACATATGCACAAGTGCCTTCCCATCCTGCCTAAGTTCAGTTCTGGTCCCCTCCTACTGGACACCAGAAGGACAATGGTAATGAGATGTTTGGCCATCAAGAGGAGCTGGTCCTCTTGTATGTAGCTAGAACTTGATCCCAGGGTAGTCATAAAGCATATATTCTAAGTTCTGTTTCTGTGCTGAATAACATAACTAACATTTATTTTCCCTCATGTCTGAACATGACATTTTTTTGCCCAAGTTAGGTAGGATGGACACTTTGAATTGCTTTTACCATTGTGTGGACGGCTTTGTGCTAAATCATTTTCCTAAATCTCTGTGCTTGGTGATTTTGGTGGGTGATGGCATCTGTATTTGGAATAGCTAACCTGAGTAGATGGTAGCTCAGGTTAGAGACCAGATTTGGGACTCTGTAAAACTAATTAGCCTATGGGGACAGGAATGTGTATTTTATCTAAAATGCCTAAACAAACCAGGTCATGGTGTGTGAGTGCAGGAGTTCTGGTAAATTCTAGTCCTTCTCTAGGCTTTACAGGGAAAAATGCAAGGTTAATTTCTTAATCTTCAAGTGTGAAAATTGTGTAATGATACAAGAGGAAGGCATTAGATCATGTAGTTCAACCTAGAAAAGTGAAGGAAGGTAAAAAAAAAAGATATTGATTTTTGTTTCTACAAAAGGGTAAAGGGAACAAATTACTCTAATTTTTCTAATGGTGCCGTCCTAAGTTCGGATTTATTGCAAAAAGATACTTTCTAAGTACGCAGTCCATTTACTTTTCTTGGTACTTTCTTTCTTCTAAGTGGGCAAGAGTTTTTGTTTGTTTTGCCTTTCCTACAAAGAAATGAATCTTAACATTGATAAAAGCACTAACATATTAATATGTGTTTTAGGTATTGAGTAAGTACCTGTGTATCCTCTGCCCTATAATGGATGCTAGAGACACTAGATGCTAGAGATTTAAGAGTCCTGAGAAAACGGGTGTGGCCCCTCTGCTTTCATGAAGCTTCTAGCCTAGCTTACAACTTTATATATAAATCATATACATATATATATATACACCCATATATAAGAAATAAATATATATTTATATACGTATATATCTTTGTGTGTGTGTCTGTGTATATATATCATCCATTACTCTTCTCCCACACAGATCTTGATTTAAGCAGTTTATTACAATTAGAAGCAATCCCATATTTCCTTTAGAAATAAAATCTGTACTTGAAAAAAACAATGTTTGAAATATTATGATGGATAGTAGTAGCTAAAAATCAACTACTCAGAGTTATCATTGATCTGTTTTCCAGTGTTGGGAATGTATATACAATTGTAACCTGTCAGAGAAACTTTAACTCAGTGTAATTCACCAAAGTTGATTTGAGAATGTTAAATCAGCATGCTGTCAAAGTTAGCCTTTGAGGAAAAAACAGAAAATCAGAGGAAGAACACTAAAGGATTGTATGCAAAGCAATGGTTTCCCAGTCCCGTCTCTCACGTTATCCAATATGGCTTCAACACTAGCTCTGTAACAAGTTTTACAAAGAGATAACCGAACATATTTTATTTCATGAACAGAGATATTTTACACTAATACACTTATATTTAACATTGATTCTGCCACATAATCTGAAAACACAGTTTTAAAAAAGTAAACCATACCAACCGAAAGAGCTGTCTTTTCTTATACGTCTCATTGCATATGTTACTGTCTTCCAAGAGCCTACTGGAAATGAAAAACATGATTTTTATGATATAAAACCTAAAGGAACTGAATGCTGTATGTTAAATGGATGTGTACTCTACTATAGCATATCTGTCTTGCAAATCAACCCCATATACCATGTTTTATTTGCATGATGTTGAAGTTTGCCATGACAAATTAATGGCAGCATGATTTTTCCCTACCCTAGAATTCAGGCACTGATGCTAGATAAGGGAGTAGGAAGGGAAGAGGAAATAAAGGGCATGGAAGAGAAAAGGAGAATAAAAGAAACTGAAACAGATATAATGGATATTTAATTAAATATTAGTTGTGATCTTTTTTCTTTGAGTAATGTTAAAGTTATTCCCTATTTCTTGGGGATAGTGAAATATTGGCATTCCAAATGCAGTATCCAAGAAACATATGTATTTTTGTAGGGAATCCACTCAAATTATGTTTTTACTTTTTGGGAACATCAAGACTTGTTCTTATATTCAATGCACGAATGTGACCAATTACTGTATTGATGAATATAATCTAGTGTGAATATAAGGAATGCTTAAATGCATTAGTAGTCTTCTTTACAAAACCTGAGTAAATGAATAAAATTAGGGAGTAAAATAGGGAAAAATCACTGGCAAGATGATTAGAGAAAAGGGTTTCCCACTAAATGAATTATAAATGCTCACTTAATCATTTTGGTAAGGATATCGAAATTTGGAATGCTTCGGAATCAGCCCTGAGATGTTGATGCTCATAAATTCTAAATTTTACTGTAAATAGGGAATACTTGTCTAAATCTGTATGGATTTTTGAGGTTGTTTTTGAATGTCTTATATGGACTTGTTTTCTACTTTCATCCCTTCTTCTAAAAGAGGCTATTCAATTGAGGGTTTAGTTACTTGAAGATTTCTAACGCTAATATGAATGATGGCATTTTTTTTTTAACCAGTCATCTCTAATACCTAGTTTAAATTTTCTCCAAGTACTGGAATTTAATCAAACAGCCTCCATTTTAATCAATTTTATAGGGGCACGCATTAAGCTGACACCTGAAATAAAATTAACTACCACTTTTTTAAGAGATACCATATTTCCATTCCAAGTTGCCCATTTTGATGCATCTTAAATGTGACTGGCACAGCTAAGGTGGAATACCTTACTCCTCCCTTGAAAATCTGCAGGAATTCCTTACTCCCCCCTTGAAAATCTGCAATTAAATCAACAGAGCATTTTAAGATCTATGTCAGTTTAGAACTATTTTTAAAAAGTGTATACGAAATTTGAAAAATTTCTGCTCTTATGCTCAAGGATTTATATAAATTTTATAACCCATTTATTTCATCACCATCACTTCCCCGTACTAATTCCCATGTTAGGAAATTTGGACCATTTTAGGTAAGATTTCCCATGCCTTTTATGAAGACTAATAGATGGTATAGAATGAGAAACTTAAAATAATATTCAAATTATTATTTGTATAGCTATACATAATTATGGGGCACAGAAAGGGGTTGATGATAGCAAATATATAAGTACTTTTTGCAGCCTAGTCAATAAGCCAATGAAACTGCAAATTCCTATGTTGTCTTAACATTTACACTTTTTAATGCCTGGAATTAACAGGAATTACACCTTTGGAAGGAAGAGAAGTTGAGACTCTAAATAAGGAAAATGTTTAAACTCATGGGTGAAGTTTTTCACCAAATTAAATAGTTTTTACACATGCTAAATAACACATACGTCTGGGCATATAAGTGTGTACGCACAGATATATGTATTTATTTATACATATATTCAAGCACACACTTATATATGGGATATATATCTATGAATATACAGGACACACATGACAGACTTTGTTCCCCTAAAGATACGAAAAAGAAACTTTCGTTTTACCTGTTTTCCACATAAAGGTTTTCCTGGGAGCAAACTGACTGTAAAATAAAAAAAAAGGCATTGTATCAGACGTTCTGGATATGCTGAGGGATCCCAAATCCTTGCCTGATTTTAAAACTACTTTTCCCCTCCAAGAGGAAAAGAATTAAGAAAACTATGTGCTGTTTTTAGAAAAAAATGGAAATAAAAAAGGAAAAAATAGGTTAGAGTTAGAAGCGTAACTATTCCCATGCAGCACACAGTACTTTTCCATCAGGGCATCTCCAGGTTTCAGACAGATTTAGCCTGTTCATCATCAAGGTCAGAGGAAGAGAGACATGAATGAAACTGCCGGAGAAATGAGTGACCATCGGATCCTGAGCTAGTGGCTTTCTCTGGGGCTGCAGAGATGCAGCCACCAAACAGAGGCAAAAGAAGGCATTCAGATCAAGGCAGAACATGCAATCCTGGCATGATCCACCTGAGGCTGCAAGAGCCGGAAAGGCAGAATCCTGTCTTTATTACCTGGCAATGATAAACTCTCATGAAATAAACAGACTGACTGCAAGACTCTCAACATCGAAGTGACGCCATCAATCAATCTGAAGGACGGAGGGTGGGCAGAAGACAAGTGAGAACAAAATGAAGCTAATTAGAAAAAAAAGATGCCAAGCTTCATCTAACATTTCTTGGGTTTTCACACAGAAAACCAATGACTTTCTTCTCTGCTTCCTTTTTCCTCACACTCATCTTTCCACTATCTTGTGTCTAATACATGTAGGGAAGATAAAATTCCATTCTCATTTCATGCTGGAGAAAGGCAGATCAAATTAAATTTTAACAAACAGAAAAAGAGAAGTCTAAACAAAATGCGGTGCAAGGGTCCGTAATATGGCAACTATGTATTAGAAATAATAATGACCTTTCAATATTGAATCCTTGAATTAAGCGATGCTGCTAATGTAACCACTCCTCAGACAGGCAAAGAGGATATTGGTTTCTCTTTCCATTTTACGGGAGAAATCATTTCCTTCCACTAACTCAAAGGGCTAAATTTGGGCATAATCCTTTCCTCAGTGGTCTGAGCATTTCAGTGAGGGCATCTCTAGAACCATTTCTTTTAACCTCTGAGCACTTAACACTCATTCTGAAGATCAGGTGTGCAAAAACTTTATTTAACAAAAAGCAAAAAACAGCCAATTAAGAAAAAGCTTTTCAGAAAATATCTTTTTTCTTTTTGACATTTAATTTTATAAAACGAAACATATAAATGATGTGCCATTGACATTACTCCGATGAAGATCTGTTTAGAGTAAACAAAATATCCTACTGTCTTTATTTCCATTGGTTTGGTTTTTCTACCAGCTTGAGTCAAGTCACAGTATGTGAAAGAAAGTGAGATTGTCTCAGATACATTATGAATTCAATACTTTGTTACTTGTCAGCTCTTGCAGTTGCAAAGAGGTCAATTACATTAATAATGTTCTGGCTGAGTAGTGAAATGACTGAGACTCTCCTATTACTTTGAAGGAGTTGAGCAAAGACCTACTGACCTCTTCGGACTTATTAATCTAATAGCATTTTGGGGAAAGTTAAGCAGCCCAAACTCTCTGAATTAAAAAATAAGGTACCTGCAAGTCAAAGATCACTTTCCCCAAAACAACTGTCAACAGTATTTTTCTGATTTTTATAGAAAGGTTCTAAAAAATCATCTCAACATCTCTCTACCACATTTCATAAATAAGACTGAGAAGGTTATAGGCTGTGATTCAGCAGCTGATGAAAAAAAACTTTTTAAAAAAGTAGTATTAATAACTTGCAAATTTTAATAGCAGAGAAAGATAAAATTGTCACGGTATTTAAGTGCAGCATTCAAAGCTGTCATTTATATGCATTCTCAGATATAAAGGGCTCATGTTTCTCTTTTTTAAAGGAGATAAATGGTTTTGCCTAACAGGTTACAGAATTCTGTTCCACATTACACCCCCAGTCCAGGTGACACTGCACACGCCCTTATCCTCAGTTCTCAGTGAAGAGGAATCCTAGTTCATACAAAGGAGACCCCTGACAAGCTCCTCCTCGAGTCCCTGTTTATGCAGAAATATCCTTCAGAAATTACCTGCCAGGCAAAATATGTCTTTCTTAAATATATTGCTTTATCAACTTAACCTTCCTAAAGCTAGCAACATCTCATAGGATTAATCACAAAATAAGCTGAAATTCTTGCCAAAGGAAACAAAAGTTATATTTCAATATTTCTAACTACAAAAATGTGATTGTTTATTATTTGAGAACTAAATTGTTGTGTGCCCTGACTTAACAACAGTTTAGTTCTCAAATAATAAATAAACTTGTCTTACCTCAAGATACCAAAATTCTCAATTATATTGGAAAAATTTTCTAGACAATCCCAAATAATCTGCAAATTTTGATTGTGCACTTACATACAAAAGCACACCCAAACACACACACACCCCTTAGACACAAAGATATATTTGTATTATATTCAAGAGCCCTTCTAATTTTGAAATAAATTTGTATTTTGCTAAAGTGTAAATACGAGGAAGTATTTCTCTATAATTCTCCGTTGTAACTTCAAGTAGAAAAAAAAATTCTACTTAAGTATATCAAAATTTGAACCTGTTTGAATGACTCTGCTATATAATAATTGGTGAGGAAAGCTGATTTTATTACCTCAGTTTTTAAATTATGAAGACAGTAAATTAAAGACCTGCTAAGAAAAACATTAGGCATCTGTAACTTGGTTTCCTTATGCTGGATTCTTTGCATTTGTTTCATAATTGACTTAATACACTTTAATTAGTATCTTGTGTACTTCAACAATTTGGGAATCTAAAATTGCATAGATGAAATTTCCTGAAAATGTCCTGTCTTTATATAAGTGGTAAGGAAGATTTGTTACTGTAAGTACTTAAGAAAGTTCATATTGCTGTTATGTGCTTGAGTTTGTGTTGATAGACAATATAGTAATATCCTGTTAATACAGGGTGGCCCCCAATGATCCCCACCTCTCAGCATTCACAACCTTGTGTAGTCCTCCCACAATGTACCTGGGCTGGTCTCTCTGTCCAACAGAACACAGCAGGAGGGAAGGTATGTCACTTTCAAGATTAGGTTATAAAAGACTCTTGCTTCCATCCCTTTCTCTCTTGGATCACTGGCTCTGGTGGAAGCTAATTTCCATGTCTTGAAGACACTCCACAGCCTCTGGAAAGGTTCATGTTTTGGGAACTGAGATCTCCAGCCTATAGCCAGCAAGGAACCAAGACCTGCCAACATGTGAGTGAGTTTGGAAGCAGATAACCGCTTCATCAGACCTTCGAGGTGACTGCAGCCCCAGCTGACAGCTGGACTGTAACTCATGGAAGACTTTGAGCCAGACTCACTCAGCTCAGCCTCTCCCAGATTCCTGACTCGTGGAAACTATGAGATAAGAAGTATTTTTTTGTTGCTGTTCTAAGGTGCCAAACTTTGGAATAATTTGTAATGCAGCAATAAATAGTTAAAACAGGGAACACCAGTGGTATAACTGCATTGTCTCTACAGAGCTATCATACTAGGGGGACACTGAGCACTTTTTTTCTCCCTCTAGGAAACTGGCTCTTAGCCTTTTAAGGGTCATGGAAACTTACACCAATATGATAAACACCAGAGATCTTTTCCTTGGAAAAATGCACATATGCTCATAAACATAATATTTTGCAGATGATACCAGGAATTTTATTTAATCTTGGAAGCTGTTCTATGTGTATACATTGGGTACAGGATGCCGATTAAACAACCTCTGCCCTAGGAGATCAGAGACAACATAGTGTCAGCAACAGGCCGGTGCCCCACTTGAATTAGTAAAGCCAGAGGTGTTGACCTGTTGACCGCCAGACAGCCTACCCAAGGAGCTCACACCTCTACTCCTGCATAGAGAAGAAGCCACAGCATTGTAAAGAAGGCTGCCAACTGATTTCATGGCTAGAAAGGCTATGACAATACCTTAGCATTTAAGCTTTCTCACATCTGTCTGCTTTTACTTTTTAAAAAATGTTAATACAGCATGTAGCCATAGGGGCTTTAAACGGCAACACTTGTCTTCAGTCTTCCACCTGGGACACAGGTCCCTCAATATCAATCTCCTTTATAGGGATGTAGGGAAGTGCAATGTGTAAAGGAAGTCAAGCTGACCCCTTCTCCCTTGATCTCTCTAGAGACATGAGAATCCACAAATGAAGTACAGCCACACAAGTGTCATCCTCATCACACGCAGGCAGCAGTGACGTTACTTTCTGTCACCTAGCTCTTGAGTGTCTGGCAATGTGACACAACTTTGGGGAAAAAAGGATAATGTTATTTGTGCATTATCTGGATGTTTAGTATTATACGACTTGCCAGGAACACAGTAAGAGGGAAAATGTGTGCATGTGTGTAAGAGAGAGAGTAAAGAATTTAGAAAAATTAGCCTTCAGAAAAATTCCTCTCCGTGAAGGTCATCAGATAGGAGTATACTACCTCCAGGCCACCATAGGCATCCTTACACTATCGCGACTAGCATAGATCTTCTCATCACTTCATTCCTGTATCCAGCAAACACAGTTAAAGACTGTGTCAAGCTGTGCTATGCACTATCAATAATTCTGACCACAATAAAAATCTAAGTAGCCCACACATATGCAGAATCTTCTAGAATTGTACCTGGACATCATCCAACTATGGCTACCTCCATCTTCCTCTCTCACACTCTCCTAATTCCAGAGCTCTGGGTCAGATTATTCAATCATCAAAATTCTATTTTAGTGTATCCAAGAAAGGCAGAGAAGATCTAGAAGAGATAATAGAAATCCATGTAAATGTGAAAGAAATTCAGAGTGTTGCTTCCTCTACAGCTTCAGATTAAAGGAGCCGGTACCAGCTGGAGGATCAGGGAAACTGGCTTAGGCTGGAAATCTCTAAGGACAGCACTCCTTCTGGTGCTAAGCGCTGAAGCCTGGGTCTCTAGACTGGCCTCGTAATCCCCTCCAGGAGCAAATCACAACAGGAGGTCAGAAGCCCTCCCTGACTTAGTAAAGCTGGACGTGTTGGCCACAGAGAGTCTATACAAAGGAATTAGAGAGGGAAGAACCCACAACATTTTAGAAGGCTGCCCAATGATTTTGTGGAATGGAAAAGCCATGATGATAGCTTGCCCTTTTCAGTTTTTTGCATTTAAATTCAACTTTTTTTTTCACCTTATAATTTTTATTTAATTTAATTGCATTTTATTTTGGCCACAGTGGGTAAAAGGATAAAAAAATCCCAACCACATTTTCTTTGTTGGGATTTGAACAAAAGAAATTGTTTTATGATTATTTCCTTAAAAGTTGTTCATAGAACTAATTTGATCTGAAATTGAGGGGGAAAATGAATATTACTATTCACCTGTGATATAATAAAATATCCATAATTCCTAAGAATGAAGAAAATTCTGCGTGTGTGTGATCAACAGATTTTTCTTTCTTTTTTCTAATTGTCTCCTCTTCACAATGTTGATATTAAAAAGACTTACAATGTGCTATCTGCTGGATAATATGGATATGAAGATATTTCTTCAAATCTGGCAACATCTCTCTGTCCTTAAGTTCTATTTTGCTGACCCAGATTATACCTCTGTTCGCCCACAGGTCATACCCTAGGAACATACGCAAACACTTGGCTATTTTTCCATCACTTCCCTGAACCAGGTCCTCTTCCAGAAACACCTCTAGTTTGCTGCAGTTCAATTTGTTCCCTGGCTCCAGCTTCCTTAGTCCCTGCCAACTCGCTGTCTGGGAAACGAGGCTGCCTTACTGCTGATGGAAAGACCGCACTAAAGAGGCAATTAAAATAACTACTCACATCATGTGCAAATATTCTCTCCCTCACTCTCTGATATTCCTCTTCTCTCTCTTCAATTGATTTACTTCGTCTGTCATCTCTAAATGGATGCATTCTGTTTTGCTGAACAGAAAAAAGAAATCAGGAGGGTTATCCAAATTGAGCTGTTAGAAATCTGCAGTTAAGCAACTGTCAGCTGAGAATAATAAATGTTCACTTAAACAAATGGAGCAGGAAAAGTCTTACTCCCTCTGGTCCCTAAGTAGGCTGTGGTGGGGGACATGTGTGGTGTGTGTGTGACACCCAATGGCAGATCTTTGTTGCTCCTGGTTGTTTTCTCACTGGATGCAAATAGTACAGGTGTTTCCAGAATGCAAGCACTCGGATGGCCTCAGGTGTTCAGCCAGTTCAGCTATGTGTGGGTCACCACTGATGGGTTCTGTCTCCTTTGTTAACCTGTGCGATTTTGACTCCTTAAAAGGAGGCAGAATGCTGGTGAAAAAAGAATTGGCTAGTTCAAGGTGGCTAAGAGAACCAATAGCTTTGAAAACCTGAGTAGTGGAAAAACAGAGCAAGAGAATAACGAAATGGGCAGAAAGGAAGATCTGGGCACTATTTCTCTACATTCTAAGTTGTGTTTTCATTCGCTCAGTGACTGATCCTGTGATCTGCATCTAGCACAGAGAGTAGAAACTAAATTTGAAAAGCCTGCTTGTTGATTAGGGTCAATATCAAGATGTCTAAAGGAACAATTCAAAGAACCCAGCATGAGGATTGCTCTTCTTCAGCCTTCTGAATCACTTCCTACATCTCAAAGACCCTCCCATCTTATTCTTGCCATTCCTCACAAAATGCTCTGTGCTAACCACATTCATCCATCCATTCAACAAACACCCACTAAGTACACGACACAGGCACATGTTTCAGAGTCAACGGGAGCCACAGTGTAGCTTGGTGGTGGTGGGAGGAAATGAGATACAAACGATGAACAGGTTTAAAAAAAAAGTGCATCAGAGATGCACACAGTGGCTTACAGTGACTCACTGAGAGTAATTAAAATAACAACTTGAATGAGATGCATATTGTCTTACCTTTAAGAATTCTAAAGCAGTGTCATTTTTCAAAAAATTTATTTTGATTGTCAGAGACACAAAGTATAATTGTAATGGCATTTATATAACTTTCTACCATTCTTGTCATTTAAAATTTGTTTTCTTTTGTCATTTAGTCAATTTTCTTCCTAATCATCCTGGATTCCACACCCCCCCCCATCTGGAGAAGAGATTTAGTCAAGTCTCTCCACCCTCATCGAAGTACCATGAATAAGGCTACTCTAGAAAACATTTTGTTTTGTCACAAGCAAAATACACATAAGGATAAAGTTGTGCTACAGTTCATGCAAAACAAGCAGACAATTTACATGGACAATAAAACACGAGAAGGAGAAGGGGTGGGAGGCTAAAACATGAACTCGATTCTTTTCTTTGAAGACTTATTTTAGGATAGTTGCAAAATCCACCTGTCCTCACCATAACAAGGTTTGTTCTTTACAGCTACACGAGTTGATCATCGGTCCGTATTGAAAATCCAGCTCAATTTGTGCACAACTGAAGGACAAAGCTGTAGGGAGTGGAACGACTGCCATAGTTACACAGACATCTGGAAATGCGACTGACAAAGCTTTTCCCAACAGCTTGGAGCCTGTGGCATCCCGACCCCCCACGACATGCAGCAGGAACTGCGCCAAGCACCACCCATGCAGCCCAACACAGAGCCATTGCTGAAGCAACCAGGACATGGTTTCTTTGTGCTACCCATTGAATGCCAAAGGGGGAGGCGAGGGGGACAAGGGGGCTGGAGAGAGGACAGTAGTATCAGAGGCAGGGAGAGTTGGGAGAGGGAGAAGGGACAACAGAAGAAAGACAAGAACGTCAGTCAGCCCACCTTCAAAAACAACAACGTCAGCCACTCTCAAACTTGAGAACCAACCTGATTGTCTTCTTTATCAATACTAGAGTTATCTCGCTTCAAGATAAACCGCTTCTGGGATTCTTCACCTTTTTCATCTTTTAAATGTTCACAAAACCTTTGCTCTGGTCTGCCAGCAAAGTAAAACATATCAATAAAAAAAGATTTTTTCCCCCTGTTTAAAATTATTTCTTAGTGTTGTTTTTCCCCCACAGTGGCATTCAACTTAAAAAAAAAAAAAAAAAGTTTACACGTGGTTTTGATGCTAGAATTGCTGGCAATATACAGGTAGGTAATATTTCACTTCACAGGTCTTGTTAGAATACCTTTTGTTGCTTTGAATTCAGAGTCTTGGTTGCTGCATGCTTCTCACCATGGCTGAAGTTAAAAAAAACATTTTAATGGCCTGACCATATATAGTGTATAGATGTTTTCTTTAGTTATTTTGACCTCCATCACTCCTGAATTCAATCAAGTTCCCACCCTTGTTAGCAAACATATATCCATGTTTAGAACTTGGGAGTGCCACATTAATTCCCCAGTGTCTGGAAACTAGGAGAACACCTCCCTTTCAAGAGCCTCCTGAATCTGTAGTGAGAGAGGATCATCTATAAATTACTTCCATCTTTCTCCAATGACAAATGCTCTGGAATCTGGCTCCAGTAGACTCTGACATCTTTGACCATGTCTTGTAAATCAGTTCAGTAATTGGGGAAACTGGAGATATTTAGTTAAACAACTTAGTGACTGATTAGCATGGGAAAAATGCTCCAAGCAGTTACACACTATTGATTGGTCCATTGATTATTTAGTCTTCTTAATCATTTTGTATTATTAGAGGAAAGGGCTCCACTTCCTTGTTAATTTCCCACAATTGTCACTACATGCCACAGAACTCAATGAATGATGGGCTTGGGTTCATCCCCAGAGGAAGAGCTAAAATATTTGTCCTGGGTTTAGAAGCAGTTGTAATTTATGACTCTTATTAACGTCTCTCTGTCATGTCTGATGTATTACTTCTGAAACCCAGTGGGTTTTCTATCCCTCCTGGCTTCATTATGCATTCAGCCACTGGGAAGCCACTTCACAGTGTCTGTTGTTTAATAAGGGTGACCAGTAATTGGGAATCTCATCGTTTCCATATAGCTCCAGAATAAGCAAATACCACTTTAAAAACAAAGGAGTGGTTTAAGTGTATAATTCAAATCTTGATGAGATGCACCCTTTCATTAAATACATATACATAAATTATAGTAATATTGGTGAGACAGTAACAGAAAACTGGAATAATACCAGTTATAGCTTCTAGAACTGCATATAAGTTTTGCAAAGTGATATCCTTATCTCATTCAATCCCTGCAACAAAACCTTGATGTGGGAGGAGCAAATATCTTTCACCTCTTTTACAAATAAAGAAACCACCCCTTAGTGATCTTTTGACTCCAAGTTTATAGATTTGCCCACTAAGTCACAGGCATCAAACAGCCTATTCACATCTTTGCAGAAGTGTGATTCAGTCTCTCTCTGCTTACATAATACACAAACCTCATAAAGAAGAACAAAAAACTGGCATCACCATCTTTAAGATCAACATAAATGTTTTCCACCAAAACTAAAATGTAATAAAATATAATAAACAATCTGGAAGTGAAAATATGACACTTTAAAATCAGAATACTAAGAGAACCAAGTAAACTTGCACTTTACAGAGAAGAGGCCATTTACAGCAGAGAAATGAAACATTTCAGTGTATCATAGCCACAGTACACTGCAATTATTTATTATCCTGTAAAGTCTTATTATATTAGCCTGAATAGTTGCGGGTCACTGTAAATGATAAGAATTCTCCAGGAATTTTTAAGCGTCTCAACATTTTTCACCAGTACTTAGATGTTATATCACTTTTTATGTAGCAAGTGAAATGAGGATATTAACTTAAATACACATGCTGATTGTATCAATGCTAATTAACTCTCCTAATATCCTTAAGCTCTGTAGTCTGATAAACTACAGGAAATGAAATGATTTGCTTGCTGCTAAATTTACAGCTGTATTTCTCGTATTGGTTGCTAATAGTCTCTAACTGTTCATTTAGAAATAAAATGGTCTGATAATGTGAGCTTTTTGATTCATGAGCATAAGGTGAATTTGCTTTAGACTAATTACTTCTTTAAGAAGAAAACCATTTAGAGTGAGATTTGAGGCTACTAACCAGAGCAAGAATCTAAGTTCCGTGTCGGTAGGGATTGTGTTTTTTAAATACTTAATCCTTTAGTGCTTAGAACTGTGTCTCGCTTATGGGAGGCATTTGGTTGAATGAATCAATGTATTAGTGAATGAAAGTTTAGTACAGCTGTATATAAATCATTGTAATTCAGGAACAGATCAAAGGGTCACTGAATAAAATATGCAGTCACACATTTTTAAATTATAAAACAGAAGAAGAGAGAGAGTTTGGTTAGTAGGAGCATAAATTTAAATTTAGAACATTAGGAAGAACTTCTATAAAAATCAAAGTTATGTTTCAGTTCAAGTTGACCAAAAATAATCACGTTGTTAAAGAAAAGTTCTTAAAATTTGCAGATATCTTTAAGAAGAGAGGTGGAAATGAGAATTGTAGCTTTTTTAGTTTTGGGAATTCTCAGTTTAAAGTGTCATTATAACTACAAGAGACGTATTCAAACGTTATTTTTGAAATTTCATTTGCATTTCTTCAAAACACTTGTTTATTTGTTTTTTAAAGCAGGATGTATTTAAGAAAAATACATCCATCACATAAGCAAAGAGTGGTCAAAGGAGTTTGTTCTAATCAATAATGTAAATATTATTTAGAGCAAGAATATTAAATTATGCATAGTGCATTCTCCAAAACTGCTTTTCAAATACTTTGTTTAAATTTTTTTCATACGTTAGAACATAACAGTCCAAATTATTAATCCCTTCATGATTTTCCAAAAATATTTTGAGTGGTTATAAAGTAACCATTTGAAGTTTGCAGAAAAGGAATAAAATAAACCAAATAAGATTTTTCCAGGTTAATTTTAAGAGAATTATCTATGACTCCAGAGCTAAAGGGAAATTCGCAGTTTAAACTCAGGCAAACTAAAGTCTACAACTGAAGTAGTGCATGTGATCAAACTAAAAATTACCAGGAATGCACCATTATATTATAGCTTTTAAAAATCCTTTTTACCACTAATTTAACATCATAGCAACATTATTTCTTAGCCATAAAATGAATAGAACTAAAGTAATATATTATGGATCTTTATTTAAAATGAGAGTGAATTACTTTTAATGTATCAATATGAAGATGTAACTCTAAGAAAACCTTCTCAAAACTGCAAAACGTCGTGGTATTTATTAAATCAATGCTAACTAAAGTTTACTGTATATTTCATGCATGCATCATACATGCCTAAATTTTTTTTCCTGGCAGATTTTAGTCCATGAGGTATTATTTCTGGTTTTCTCTATATCATCATCAAAAAGCAGAGAAAATGAAGTTAGTGCTTTCTTCTGGATGAAAAAATAGTTACTCCTCTTAAGGTAAAAAAAAATATTTTCCCTCAATTTATAGCAGGTACCTACTGTGAAACTCATTGTTCATGTGTGGTAAACAGCAGTGGCATTTCTGCTCAGTGTCCTGGCATGCCCAACAAAACCTTTCAAAAGTTAGAATTAACTCCTCATTGTTCCTCTTAGACATAGGTTATGAAATGACAGGCAGTGGGCTCAGTGAAATACAGCGTAAGACAAACTCTGTCTTCTAGTCAATCGAGTCTGATTTTAGTTAGATTTTTTTTCTCTTGAAGCTTAAAATAGATGAGCACTCATTATTATTATTTTTTTAAATCTTTTTGATCTGGAAGTATTTTCAATGGCTTACTCTGCCAGTTTCTTTTTTTTAAAATCTTTTTTTAAAAGATTGGTACCTGAGCTAAGATCTGTTACCAATCTTGTGGGGTTTTTTTGTTTTTCTCCCCAAAGTCCCCCAGTAGATAGTTGCATATTTTAGTTGTAGGTCCTTCTAGTTGTGCTATGTGGGATGCTGCCTCAGCATGGCTTGATGAAGTAATGCTAGGTCCGTGCCCAGGATCCGGACCAGTGAAGCCCTGGGCCGCCGAAGTGGACTGCGTGAACTGAACCACTTGGCCAGAGGGCCAGCCCCTCACTGCCAGTTTCTTGAGACCAAATTTATTACTTTTCTTCCACATAGTTAAGCTTAATCCCTCCCTGTCTCCTTCCCCCACATCCACACAAATGAAAAATTCAATTCCACTAAATATGCAGGGGCACAAAGGGAAGTCTTTGAATTTCATACTGAAGAACTGAAAGATGGTCATACACATGCATAACTATCTTAACAAAGAAAGGTTGCTGTGCACAACAGGATAAAACATTTTGATGATGTCAGACATCTATCAAAAATATTCAATATTCAAACATGTTAGACAAGTCTAAGTTTCACTGTTTCCTTAATACTTTGAAATTTTCAATTAAAATATTTACAACTGTCTTTTATTAAAAAGAGAAAGTCTTATGTTCTTCTTTAAGTATTTCCCGATTTCCACTATCACTCTGTCATTTTATACCATTTTATTCTCTTTTAAATGAGACATGCCTTACAAATCCAATATATGTAGTGTTAAGTATCTGGCTTCCTTTATTAGCATCTTTCAAACTCGCGTTCTCAATTCTCTACACCTTTGAAAAATTCATTTTATTCTTCTCTGTTTCTATTGTGTAGTGTATATATAAACAGAGACATGCAAACTAACATAGGAAATACCTTGACCCTCCTTTAACATGAGGCTGTTCATGAAAAACAACAAAATTAAGCAGAATACTCAAAGACAACAAGTGTCTGTAAGATATCTTCTCTTAAATTGGCACCACCACTCTGGCAAACCAGCTCTGTGCATTAAGACCCTTAAAAATGTCAATCTTCCTTGAAAAAGTGATCTCATCTTATAAGAATGAATCTAAAGAAAATGGTAATAAATAAATACACAGTCCCATTGTTCAAGAAATCAAAACAGTGGAAACACATGGTGTACTGGTTAAGTAACTTAAAATATCCCCATATGTAATACACAGCTTTATGAAATTATATCCAATTTTATTGAC